GAAATACATTGAAAGACATTGCAGAATAACCAACTGGCAATGTTTTAACATTTCAGGGTCATGAAAATCAAGGAAAGACTGAGGATTTGTTCCACACTTAAGAGATTCAACAGATCAGTGCAACACATTTATTGATTGTATTTTTTTTGTCTGTAGGTTATTGGGGTACAGGTGGTGTTTGGTTACATGAGTAAGTTCTTAGTGGTGATTTATGAGATTTTGGTGCACCCATCACTCAGGTAGTATGCATTGCACCCTATTTATAGTCTTTTATCCTTCACTCCCTCCCACTCTTCCCCTCAAAGTCCATTGTATCATTCTTATGCCTTTGCGTTCTCATAGCTTAGCTCCCACATATCAGTGAGAACATACGATGGTTGATTTTCCATTCCTAGTTACTTCACTGAGAATAAGTCTCCAATCTCATCCAGGTCACTGCAAGTGCCGTTAATTCATTCCTTTTTATGGCTAAGAAGTATTCCATCATATATTTATATATATATATATACACACACACACCACAGTTTCTTTATATACACATTGTTTGATGGGCTTAAAACTGGATCCTTTTGCTATTATATAAAAGATAATTGGCAAAACTTTGGGGCCTACATAGTAAGATAATGTATTACAGAAATAACGTGTGAGTTACATTTCCTGACTTTGAGAGTAAAGTTGTGCTTATACAGAAGATTGTCCTGTGATTCTGTGATCATCTCAGAATACTTGAGGACATGTGTCTTACAGTTGGCACTTTACTCGCAACTGATTTAAAGAAAAACTTTTCTGTAACTTTGTGATTATTTCTAAGTTTTGTACCATTTTATTAGACACGTCAAAGAAGAAACAGATTAATTCAGAGTAGGACTAGTGTTGGGCTTGTGTAATTAATAGGAAATGAAAAGATCTAGAATTACAATGTAATGTGATTCTTTCATATAGAGTCATCCTGGGGAGAATTGGGGGATATTTGACTTCATAGTTTGTGTGTGTGTGTGTGTGTGTGTGTGTGTGTGTGTGTGTGTGTCTTTCATATAGAGTTATTCTGGGGAGAATTGGGGAATATTTGACTTCATAGTGTGTGTGTGTGTGTGTGTGTGTGTGTGTGTGTGTGTGTGTGTGTGTGTGTTTCATCCTGGGTAGAGTTGGGGGATATATGACTTCATAGGGGTGTATGGGTGTGTGTGTGTTTTTTTCTCACCACCATTCTTTTTTCTGTGTGACCTTTCTGCAGGTAATCCATGACTTCTTATTTTCCTTGAAGGAAAGCCCTGAAAAGTTTCAGATTGAAGCCAATTTTCCCAGGCGAGTGCTGCCCTGCATCCCTTCAGAGGAGTGGCCCAATCCCCCTACGCTACAGGAGGCCGGACTCAGCCACACAGAAGTTCTTTTTGTTCAGGACCTAACTGACGAATGACATTTTTTCTTCTTCTCCCCTCCTACCCCAGTCCCTAAAAGATATGGGGAAAAAAGAAAAAAAACAGCAACAACAAAACAGAAAAAAAACAAACAGAAAAAAAAGAGAGAGAAATTCCTATTATTATTATAATACAATATTTTTTTTTAAAAAACTGCTGCATCCTTAGGAAGGATCAGAAACCATGCTGCCCACAAGAGTCACAACCTGTGTGTGCGCGCGCAAGGTTAACAATGAAAGTGCCCACTCAGCAAGTCCACCCTTCCTATGGCCTCTGCACACGCATCTTCCAGCAAACAGACTCTCTTCACCTTCAACCCATCCATTGTCCCATCTGGGAAGGGGACATTCCCACTAGTTCTCATTCATTCTTGCTTTTATGGAAAATAAAAGTGAAAAATCTCCATCAACCAGCTACTTGCAGCATCTCCTGAGGACTTGCTTCTCCTACCTCTGGGGAAGAGAGGGAAGAGAAAGCACAGAGCAGAGAAGCAGAGATGTTCCTTGAACTGCCCGTAATTTTTCAATAGCTTTGTTTCTGTTTTGTAATGACCAAAGGAATGAGGCTGACATAGGTGTATTTTTTTTTCTCTATTTGATAAAGAGCCAATTCTTTAAACCCATGAGTTTATGCCCCAGGCTCCTTTAGCCCACAATAGTGTAATAAAAGTGCCCCGGGCTGGTTTGTGCTTATTTCTGCCATTGTCCCTCTCATGTTCCCAGAGAGGTAATTCTTTTTGGTCCAACTCTTGCTGTCCTTTCTTACCACCTGTGCATCCCACTTGGAGCAGTGGGAGGAAATCTGGGTTTGTGGCCCCATAGTGGCTTTTTGTAAAGATACACACAACTGCAGCTTTTCCTTGGAGTCTGTACCAGGTGGTGGTTATGGGATCTAAACCAAAGGATAGCAGCTCTTCATTCCTCTTCAGACGTGCATGCTGCTCCTCCCAGCCCTGGGCTTTCCTGAATTGCCAAGCCTGGTGCCTTTCCAAAGGACTAGCAGGGCCTGTGGTGGAGCCAGCAGAACCACCGGAGAGTACCCTGCCTGTCTCAGTGGAAGTGTATTACTGTTTTAAGGATAGAAAGAACCAGAGGCCTTGAAGGGAGCCAAGACAGAACTCCCAGCCTGTGTAAACTATTGGAAGGCACATTTTCGTTTCTGATGCAGCCACCTTCTGGAGGCAGCTTTTATCCTTTCTCTCTATTGCTGTGTTGAAGTAATAGGGTTTTTTTTTAACCTCTGGATGTCTCGTCTGTGGTTGAGTTTATGGTAATGGGTACATGGGTCAAGCCATGTATTAACAGATGCCGTTGTGCTCTGACAAGTATTCCAAAGTGTTCTGTAGCTAGACTGGCGCAGGCTCGTTGTACCACTGCAACTGACTGACATTACCGTAGTTCCTGGCATGCTGTGAGGATGGGGGTTCAGATCAACAGAAAGTGTAACTTGTTAGAGTTGTAGTCTCCAAAGGCTTTCTCTCTTGCTTAACTAAAACCTGAGGACCACTGTTTTTGGTAGCAGTTCTATGGTTACTATCCTCTGCAGTCCTTAGTTGTTGGGGTAAAGCCCATGTGGCAGAGTAAGGGACCCCACAAAAATTAACCTGGAGAGCCTGAGAAATTTTCAGTGGCCTTGGCACAGCTGTCTAGAACACCATCTCTAGGAAAATTTAGTTCTGTCCCTGGCTCTCTGTTCTTTCTTTTCTGCTGTCCCAAGGCCACATAAACGGGAATTACCATCTGACTTGTCAATAAAACATATCTGCAGTGAACAGCAGGATAACCCATGTTTTCCATCTAAGGCTGACTTTATGTGAAATCTGCTTCCTGCTGACAACCATGCAGAGGAATTTTTCCACTTAACTCAGAGCCTCCCTCCCTGTCTGGAATTCACAGCTGTTCCCTGGTAGCACACAGGAGAGTATTAAGGTCATTTGTGAGGCTAGGTACACTCTATAGGTATCTCGTCCACACCTCTGCGGAAGTTAGGACTTTTTTTCCATGATAATTCAGTCTCATCTTACTCCACAATGTGCACTTTATGCCTCTTGCCTTTTGAGAACAGTTGTTCAGTGAAGGAAGTCAGCTGCCCCAATGTTAAGAAGGGTCTCCCTTTATGTGAGTGCAACTGTTGGGGTGGCCTACCCATTTACCTTAGGTTTCAAGAGGCTTCACTGGAAGGACATGCCCCTGTCTAGTCCCATGTGAAACAGTTCTGCTTTACTGAGACCCTAGGCCTGTCTCCTTGGTGACCCTAGTGCTCCTGCGTAGGTGCCATTTTCTTTCCTCCTGAGTCAGATACGGGCTGCACATTTTGTCAATGCCAGTACAATCTGTGTCACTCCCAAGGACTTTTGGAAGTTTGATGGGACCTGCGAAGGAGAAAACACTCAGAAGCCGGCGATCTGCACGCATTTGCTCTTGTTTCCACATCACTTCTGGGATATTTCAGCTGTTGTTTCCAAAGGGCAAGTCAACTAAAAACACTTGTTTCGAGTTTTGTTCTGCACTCCCAAGATGCAGCTGAATAACCATGGAAGTGACCAAGCAAAGACACCTGACTGGAGTCAGTTGAATATTTGTACCCTCAGTGGGCCCCTTCTGGTCTTTTCTTCCACTTCTGCAGAATTTCCTGCAGCAAATATTAATTTCTCCTTGCTTGTCTCCACCATTATATTTGAGTAAGAGATGGCCAGAGGGTAATACTTATCTCTTTGAAAAACTAAGCTAAAAAGAACCTAGAACCTTAAACTGAGCATTTGTGAAAATTGCTAATGGTGCCAAGGCCAAGCAGAGTTTCAGAAAATGAGAAGGAGTGATAACCCCCAGAATGCAAAATCAGGGGCATCATCATCTGGTGCTCCACTCTACAACTGGTTTTTCAGGACTTGTGAGGAACGCAGCAACAGAAATCCATCCACAAAGGATGCAGTGCCCCAACTTGTACTGCACCAGAATAGTTATGTGATAATTTACTGAAGAAATCTAGTGTACTTCAAATTTTTTTCATAAAAGTTTACATTGTATTGTAGGTTAACATTAAATGTTTTATAACAAAAATTTCATAACAGGCTGTGGGTCTTTCTGTGTAGGACAGATGCGGTAGATAATTTTCTGCGTGTGAAGGAGAGGTTGAAAACCACCGGAAGGGAACAGCATGGCATGGCGTTGCCAAGAAGGAAGGGAGAATCAGAAGGACGGAGTTAGGTCTTCTCTGTTGTATCCCTGTGGAAAAATAGCAACTTAGTATGATGGAGGGAGAAAGCAGACAGGGACAAAGCAGAAATTTGGGCTGTCTGGTTTGTCAGCTCTGTAACCTCAGGCAAATTCTGTAGCTTCCCTGAACTTGAATTTCCCCAACTATAAATGAAGATAATGCCATCCACTGCAGGTTTATAGATTAAATCAAATGTATATGAAGCTCCTGATATGTAGATGTCATTAAGTGTTTGTTCCCCTTCTACTGAAGTGTCTTTTAAGAATATTTTCTTGCAAGAATAACTTTTCTTTCTTTTTTTTTTGACAAAGTCTTGCCCTGTCATCCAGGCTAGAGTGCAGTGGCATGATCTTGGCTCACTGCAACCTCCACCTCCCAGGTTCAAGTGATTCTCTTGCCTTCAGCCTCCCAAGTAGCTGGGACTACAGGTACATGCCACCACACCCGGCTAATTCTTGTATTTTTAGTAGAGATGGGGTTTCACCATGTTGGCCAGGAGGATCTTGAAATCCTGACTTTAGGTGATCCACCCACCTCGGCCTTCCAAAGTGCTGCGATTACAGGCGTTAGCCACCGCGCCTGGCCAATAACTTTTATTTTCTTTTTTGTTTTTGTTGTTGTTTGTTTTTTGGGTTTTTTTTGGAGACAGAGTCTTGCTCTGTCTCCAGGCATCAGGCTGGAGTGCAGTGGTGCGATCTCAGCTCACTGCAACCTCTGCCTCCCAGGTTCAAGCAATTCTCCTGCCTCAGCCTCCCAAGTAGCTGGGACTACGGATGCAAGCCACCACACCCAGCTAATTTTTGTATTTTAGTAAAGACTGGGTTTCACCATGTTGGCCAGGATGGTCTTGATCTTGTGACCTCGTGATCTGCCCGCCTCGGCCTCCCGAAGTGTTGGGATTACAGGCGTGAGCCACCGCGCTCCGCCAACACTTGGTTTTAAGTTCTGGCTCTGGCCATGAATGGCCAAGTGACTGGTTTTAACTCCATAGACCTACATTTCATCTGTAAAATAGAGTTGATTGTGGCATTGCTGTGAAGATGAAATGAATTGCTGTTGCAGAATGCCTGGCACATACTAGGTGTTTGGAATACCTCCTGTTGCTGTTTTCAAAACAGATGTAGCTTACTACTGAAGAATTACCCTAGATGTGGCTAAGTGCCTGGCATTTTTTCCTTTGTACTTCTTTCTGATGTGGCAGGCAGAGCTCCATGTGTACTTCTACCCTGATGTAGCCTCGGGCCCCCAGGGTCCCTCATACGTGTGAGCTCAGCCACTGCTCTGCTGAGCCCCTCCCTGTCTTCCTCTGCCCTTTCCTGTCTGTCCGTCCTCGCTAACAAAATGATGCCCCAAAACTCCCAGGTTTCTCCCCCTTTAACTGAAATCTGGTTTTCCCTTGAAGATGCCACTTCAAAAAACCCTTCAGCAGAAGCAAAAAAGAAAAGAGGAAAAACAAACAAACGAAAAAAACCCTTCAGCAAAGACCACTCATTTTCCCATGAATCTTGACACTAGGAGGCAGAATCTGTTTTTGTTGGTTTGTTTTTTGAGATAGAGTCTCACTCTGTCGCCCAAGCTGGAGTGCAGTGGCGTGATCTCGGCTCACTGCAACCTCCATCTCCCAGGTTCAAGCGATTCTCCTGCCTCAGTGTCCTGAGTAGCTAGGATTATAGGCATGCGCCACCATGCTCAACTAATTTTTGTATTTGTAGTAGAGATAGGGTTTCACTGTATTGGTCAGGCTGGTCTTGAACTCCCGACCTCATGATCTCCCCACCTCAGCCTCCCAAAGTGCTAGGATTACAGGTGTGAGCTGCTGCGACCGGCTAGGATCTGTATTTCTTTTCTGCCACTTTGGTGTGTGGTCCTGAAGGACAGTGCTGAAGAGCATGCCATCTGCTTGTACTACTTTGTCCTGTTCTGCTTGCTACTAGCTATTCTCCAGAAGTTGGCAACTGATATATATATATTTTTTATACTTATTAAAAGTCTTACTCAAAACAATAGGTATTTTTACCGCCACTGGCAACCTAGATGGCTCTCACATCTACATATGTGGATTCCCTGAAATTCTGGTTTTACTGTTTCTGATTTAACTTGTGTGAAAGTGTGGTGGAGACTTCAGAGTCAAATCTAGATTTGAAATTGTTCTGCTGCTTGCTGACAATGGTATTTGTTGACCTCAGAACCTGTTTCCTCGCCCCTAAATGTTACAGCAGCACATCCTTGTAAAGTTGGGGTGCTGTTTAAGTGAGCCAGTGACTGAAGTGTCTGGCATTGGGCATTGGGCTGCTTAGCCAGTGTTAGCTTGCTTCCCCCTAGCCCTCTCCCATCAGTGCCATGCTTCACTTGGAACTGCTTCACCCTCAAGACCTCAGCACCAATCCCTCCGAGCACAGCCTTTCTCTCTTCAGCTCTCACTGTCCCTGATCTGCTCGCAAAGCCATTCTGTCCCTCTGCACTTGCCTCAGTTCTTCCTACCAGTACCTCCTTGCCTTCATTCCCGTCTCCCTCACAAGCCAGTACTGACTGCCACAACTCCTGAAGTAAAGTCTCACTGTCGCCCAGGCTTTAGTGCAGTGGCACAATCTCAGCTCAGTGCAACCTCTGCCTCTCAGGTTCAAGTGATTCTCCTGCCTCAGCCTCCTGAGTAGCTGGGATTACATACGCCTGCCACCACACTAATTTTTGTATTTTTAGGAGAGTCAGGGTTTCACCATATTCACCAGGCTGGTCTCAAACTCCTGACCTCACGTGATCCATCCACCTTGGCCTCCCAAAGTGCTGGGATTACAGGCATGAGCCACCATGTTAATTTTGGTCTCCATGAGTCTCCATTGTTAATATTCCGATGTTTATCTTCTTAGACTTTTCATTGCATACAAAAATTTTTCGCTGGGTACGGTAGCTCATGCCTGTAATCCCAGCACTCTGGGAGGCCGAGGTGGACACATGAGGTCCAGAGATCGAGACCTCCTAGGTTGAAACAATTCTCATGCCTCAGCCTCCCAAGTAGCTGGGGCTACAGTCACCCACCACCACACTGGGCTAATTTTTGTATTTTTAATAGAGACAGGGTTTCACCATGTTGGCCAGGCTGATCTTGAACTCCTGACCTCAGGTGATCAGCCTGCCTCAGCCTCCCAAAGTGCTGGGATTACAGGCATGAGCCACCGTGCCTGGCTGTATGTTTTGAGATAGGATTCCCCTCTGCCGCCCAGACTGGAGTACATTGGTTGTGATCACAGCTCACTGTAGCCTCGAAATCTGAGGTCCAGGTGAGCCTCCCACATCAACCTCCAGAGTAGCTGGGACTACAGGTGCACGCCACCATGCCTGGCTAATTCTCAAAATTTTTGTCTTGGCCGGGCGTGGTGGCTCAAGCCTGTAATCCCAGCACTGTGGGAGGCCGATGCGGGTGGATCACGAGGTCAAGAGATCTAGACCATCCTGGTCAACATGGTGAAACCCCGTCTCTACTAAAACTACAAAAAATTAGCTGGGCATGGTGGCGCGTGCCTGTAATCCCAGCGACTCAGGAGGCTGGGGCAGGAGAATTGCCTGAACCCGGGAGGCGGAGGTTGCGTTGAGCCGAGATCACGCCATTGCACTCCAGCCTGGGTAACAAGAGCGAAACTCCGTCTCAAAAAAAAAAAAAAAAAATTTTTGTCTCACTACGTTGCTCAGGCTGGTCTCAAACCCCTGGCCTCAAGCACATGTCAATTTCTCAAAGTCCTCAGATTACCGGCAAGGCAAGCGCTAGCCCATGTGACTCCGGTCTTCCCAGAATCACATATATAAGATGATTTACACTAGTTTAACTCTGGGTTCAACATAGCCCAGGTACTGGCAAGGAGGGTAGATATAAATCATAATTGGCTGGTATACCAATTTAGACACACAGAAACTGCACACACCTGAATGTTCTCTCTCACATACCTCTGCCTCTCTCAGAGGTTTTTCTGGCGCGTGCTGTGTCCCGTGCTGCACAAGGGTTCAAAGACCTAAGAGGGAACAGTGGGAGATAAAGAAAAACACAGACACAAACACAGAGCTGGGCCAGGAGGTCTGGGAGGTGAAGGATGTCAGTCTCTCCAGCCCCAACCTGTCTCAGGGTACTTAATTTTATATGTTGACAACGCACATAGCAGAGGGAGGGTGCAGTTACTTAGAACAGCCTGTGGGTTATTCCTCTCATACTTCAGTTCACATACTTCAGCTAAGAAACTACCCTGCAGCAAGGTCGGTGAAAGCCGGTTATCTCTCTAGGCCTGTCTCTGTTCTCTCCGAGACATACACATCCTCCTATAATGGTTTCACTTCTCTGAAGTTCCCCCAAAGTTCACAGCAGCCTTGCTGCTGATCCCCCTGAAAGAGTGGGTGCTACTCCGGCTCGCTACAGGTTTTTGGTTGCAAGAATCAAATAAGAAACCCAATCTAGCTAATGTAAGGGGAAAAGCTGATGTATTGGGAGTCTATGGGGTAGGTCCCAGAATTGAAAGCCAGACCTCAGACACAGTGAGTGCCTTAAAGGATTGCCAGAGGTCAAGGATAGCATTGCCAGGGCCCAGCTTTGGGACAGAGCATCACTGGCAAGCAGACTGGGGTTTCTGTGGCTTGGTTGTTCTTGTACTCTATAAGACTAGACAGAACTTTATTAAAAAGTTGTAGACAAGTCAAATGCGGTGGCTCACACCTGTAATCCTAGCGCTTTGGTAGGCTGAGGTAGGAGGATCATTTGAGCCCAGGCGTTCGAGCCCATCCTGGGCAACATGGTGAGACTCCATCTCTACAAAAAAAAATGTTTAAAAATTAGCCAAGTATGGTGGCTACTCAGCCAGCTACTCAGAGGGCTGAAGAGGAATATTGCTTTTTTTTTTTTTTTTTTTTTTTTCCTGAAATGGACTCTGTGTCACCCAGGCTGGAGTATGTAGTATGATCTCCACTCACTGCAACCTCTGCCTCCCAGGTTCAGGCCATTCTCCTGCTTCAGCCTCCCAGGTAGCTTGGAACTACAGACATGTGCTACCATGCCCAGCTAATTTTTGTATTTTTATTAGAGATGGGGTTTCACCATGTTGGCCAGGCTGGTCTTGAACTCCTGACCTCAAGTGATCCGCCCACTTCAGCCTCCCAAAGTGCTGGGATTACAAGGCATGAGCCACCGTGCCTGGCCAGGATTGCTTGAGCCTGGGAGTTTGAAGCTACAGTGAGCATCACTGTGCACCAACCTGGTCAACAGAGCAAGACCCTATCACTAAAAATAAAAAAGAGGGCCAGGAGTGGTGGCTCACACCTGTGATCTCAGCACTTTGGGAGGCTGAGACAGGTGAATCATTTGAGGTCAGAAGTTTGAGACCAGACTGGCCAAAATGGTGACAGGTGACAGGTGGTCACC